ACAGTTTTATTTTTGTGGGAATCCATGAACCTTTACACAAACACATAAATCAAATCTTTGTTTCATAAAAGGTGGTTATTGCAAGCAACTTTCATGAACCAAGCTCTTCCTTTTTTTTTTTTCCCATGGACTTGGGAGCTACTCAGTAATTTATATTGACTCTCCATGGTGAAATTCAGGTGTTGATGGGAATGCTTACTCTAGGATTGTACTGTACATCAGAGAAAGCTAGCAGGAAAATGTCACTGAGTGCCATTCTGAAATATCAGTTGTCCTGAAGAATTATTTTGTTTTACAGAAATGGAACATCGGTCAGTTAAAAAGGCTGGTATTGAGGTACAGGAGACAAAAGGTTAGTCTGATTAATAATGAAAATGAAAGGATCAGTATGTTCACACAGACTAGGGCTGCTTCTGCCAAGCTGGAGGGAAGAAATGCTGGCTAGTTTGACTGTTTTGATTTTTGTGAATTCCTTATGGATGCAGTAGAAGGAAGCTTGTAACACTCCTACCTGGTAAATGCTGTTACGCAGCCAACCCAAAAGTCTCATTTTCAGTGATGACAAATGTTTCACAGAATAAAAATTCAACTAGTATGTTCATTCCATTCTACCATCTGGAATGGTCCAGATTGGTATCTGTGGCATCTCCTTTAGATGCAGAAATAGCTCTGAAAAACAACTGCAACAGTAACTCCTCAGCACCCTACCCCCGCTCCACAACCCTCCGCCACCAAAAAAAGGGTTATTTGAAATGGCAATTGGTTTTTATTCTTGTGTAGTCTTTCAGTACACAGCCTTGTCAGCCACACCATATGGCAAGAAATGCCTTTTTTTTTCTATTTACATTTCTTCTCATAGATTTACTAGACTTTTTATAAAATTGATCTGCATGAAATTGAAAACAAAAAGGAAAAAGAAAATGAAAGCATGTAGCAACAATATAAGGAGATGGTAAACACAGAAGAGATTGAAAGGGGAAAAATGCTAATTAAGGTAGATGAAAGGTAATTTTAACCATTTGAATTCTATTATGTAGATAATTTCCCTTTCAGGAAAACAGTACCAGATTATGGTACTATTTATAAAGGCATTTAAAATATTCAAAAGTTCTTAACTGGTTTTCTCTGGTTGAATTTAGAGCTTATGTAGTTTGCTTCAGCCGTGTATACGCAGACAGAGAAAAGTCAAAAAAATACCAACTGCCAGTTGAAAGCATGTAGAATAAGGAAGGCTAACATTATGAAACAATGAAATGCTTACTGCCATCACTGCTATCCTTTTATTTTATCTCCAGTGGTAAATCAGCCTGCCTGAAGCACTCAAAAGGGAAGTGTTGATATTACAGTGTGCTGTGTATCTATGGATATATAAATACATTTTGCCTTGCTTTGGCTGACACTTCTAATGTCATAGAGAAAAAAATGCAATAGTAACACCAGAGTAAGAAAATGGTTTTAAGTAATAATGTCTAAAATGGTTAGAGTAGGTAGGCTGCAATTAACATCTTTCAGCTCCACTGGGAGAAAAGAGCTAATGGACTTTGTGTCATCTGCTTAATAAATGGAAAGGAGTGGCCTGCATTCTCAAAGCCTCCTGGTGACAGACTGTTAGTAGTGTTTGTAGTGCTGTGACATGGGAGAAAATATATGGAGAACTGTAGCTTTGTCCAGAGGTGGGGAAGATGATGAAGGAAAGTTTTCCTTAGCAGTATCTACTTCTTGAATAGACAGCATGTCTTCATTGTGTTATCCTTGTTCTCGTGATAGCAATGATATTGTTATTGTTTTATTAGTTTTGAGTGTAAACTGAACCATTTTCTATTCCTTCAAAGAAGAACATAATTTTAATTTTGATACAGAATCAAAACATAGTTGACTGAGTGTGTTTGTGATGCAGCTACTTGTTAAGACATGCTGTTGAGTCTGACTTCAAAATATATAGCTAGATAGTTTTATTTACTGAAAGTTATCACAAAGCATATGCAACATCATAAAGGTTTTTCCCTGAAATAGTTTTTATTCTTAAGGTATGGAGTTAACAAATGGGTCAGGAATGACTGGATGCAGTTTTCAAAAGCTCTCCAGATTTGTAGAACCAGAATTCTTTCATGGAATGTCACAGTTCTTAAAATTTAACCCTTTTGTCACAGTTTTAATAGAGAGATCTTTAAAATTTTCCTTTTTGTTTTTGGTAATACACTGGCATTTTGTATTCCTTATAGAAGTTTGTTGTTTTGTTGTTTTCTTTTTTTTTTCGGAAGGAGATATTTAATTGTTATTGCACCAAATAGTTATTCGCCAAAATGCATCATTGGGGTAATTTCCTATATTTTAAATGGTGGATACTTTTTAGGATAAAACTGTTTAACACATCTCCTTTCCTCATTTGAGAAAAGGGGAGGAAATCTGCTAGTGAGTGGTATCATTCAGATTTTCTCTTCCTTTAATTTGGGATAACGTCAGCAAAAGCCAAACATGTCTCCATAAGAGTTTGCCTTTTCTTTCCCTGTTACAAAGCACTTATATAGGATACAAAGGTATCCTAGCTTGTTTTTTCCTGTAGCACCTTGTTCTGTGTTGCTTGGTGCATATAGATTACATATGGAAATTGTTTTCTTTTAAAGAATCAGAAGCAGTTGTTGAAGCCAGATTGAAAAACAAGCCAGAATCGACAGACCTTCTAAGGAGTATGGATAAACAACACTTGGTCCAACAGGCCAGCAGCACTGGAGTTTCCTTTGTTCTTATTACAACTCTTCTTATTATCCCTGTTGTTGTCCTGCTGGCAATTTTAGTATTTATTTGGTGGAGGAAGACAACTGTCTTTGGAGGTAACTATAAGTGACTGTTCTAGAGAACAGGCTTTTATTATTCCAGTTACAAATATCACTGAACACTGGGGGGGTGAGGGTATGAAGAGAGTAGCTCCCTGTGCCTTTGCCCTCCTGAACAGTTGCAGTGGTATTGTATACCAACTAAGGCTCAGCAGGGACGCAGCACCTGCACCCCCTGAGCCTTTAATAGGGCATCTCAAGCTGGCATCTCTTCAGAACATATGGCAAAAACTTTAATTGGTGTCAAGGTAAAAACTGGTATCTCAGAAATTAGTAGAATAAATTCATGTTGTATTGTCTAGAATTCAGAAATTTTAATACTGCAGGAGTAGTTTGATTTTTAGTATGGGATCTTTAAATTGCTGAGAACAAAAGACTGCGTGGGTATTACAGAGATACAATCAGAATGAAAGCAGATATCATTATAAGAGGTTATGTATTATTGTTCTCTTCTACCTAGTCAATTCTGTGAGTCAGACATGCCTCCATAATGTACATTAATCCGTAGCTCTGAAAACTTTAATTGGTACTTAGAAGTTACGTAAATGGTTCTAAATTTGTATTGTATAATAACATTATTTTCCATAAGTTGGCAGACTGTGATAGGTGTTGAGCACCAGACTTGTTATTTTGTATCACTAAATTGGTTTATCATGATGCTTTCATCCCAAGAAGAAAATGTACATGGAGTAGACAACACAGTTCTGCCACTGATCAGGACCTACTGGCCATTCAGCAATCTAATGTGGCTGTGCAGCTGAACTGGATGTCTTTTATTTTAAGATTTCAGCATACAGTTTCCAGACTCCTTGTCATCATAAATGTTAGCATACCAAATGTGCTAGACAGCATATCAAATATGCTAACACTCTCTAGTCCATTGCAGTACTGCCATAAATGGACTAGATTTCTTAGAACTGCTGATGGGTTTGTTGAATGTCTGTGATTTTTAGCAGAAAATACAGGTACTTATTTGATCACAGAACATTGGGGGTTTAGCTTATTTTTGAAATTTATTTTTCAGCTGATGGGGAACACAAACTTGATTCTAGTTCAGGCAGAATTTTAGGCAGACTTAGAGGTAAGTCACTGATGATGTTTTTGAATGCAGTAACTGGAGGCTTTTTTTTCTGTATTCATGTTGTACAACAGAATTGATGGAACTTTTTCAGAGGAAGGATTGGGGGCAAAGATCAGGGGTTTTTGAAAATGTCTTTTACAACAACTTTCATCTGTCATTATCTGCCTACTAAAGAGGATGAGTCACTGGCAGTGGGAGAGCAGCAGCTATAATGAGTTACTGTGAATCTGATGTATGAAATGAAGCACTTTGAAACTAAGGGGAAATGGGTAGGAATGCCAATAACCTGAGTATAGTTAATGAGATAATAGATGCTAAAAAAGCATAGTCTGAAACTTCTACGTCAAAGATGAATTTGCTTCTTCTTTCCTAATATATACACCTAGCTTTTGTGGCTCATGTGTTAAATCTTTAAAAACAGTTTCTGGAAGGACACTTAAAATAATTATCACCATACTGTTTAACTAGTAGATAGATTTTTATTCCTCCCTTACAGTTAAAGCAAACCTTGTGAAAATCCTTTCCTTTCCATAGGAAAAGGCAGTGGTGGAATTAACCTAGGGAATTTCTTTGCAAGTCACAAGGGCTACAGCCGAAAAGGATTTGATCGGCTGAGCACTGAAGGAAGTGATCAAGAAAAAGATGAAGATGATGGCACTGATTCTGAGGAAGAGCGTTCAGCATCTCCACTTCCACCAGCATCTTCGTCATCTTGAAACCAAACTTTGAGTTCTCCATTATACAGTTCAACCCAGAATGTCAGATTCCTTTTCCCTTAAGCACGTTTAAGATCTTGTGGATTTAATTGTAAACTGTTCTAGTCTGTGTGGAGCTGTACACTGGTTCCTTTATTTTTTGTCTGGTTTTAGTTATGCTTTTTATGTGGAGGAGTGTATGGAATTTCCATATCAGTGCTGTTGGTTTTTATGAGAACATCTTAATTAAGCAAAGTATTCTAATTGCAGGACTGATTTAAAGCAGTAGTATTTTATCATCAAATATGGGGATCTTGTAAATAAGTCTTACTATCTGCTTCATCAAAATATTTTTTCCATAATTATTCAGTTGCTAATTTCTGTTTTGTGCCTTTCCTCTTCAATGTCCTTAACCTGATCAGTACAGAGAATATACAGTGCCACAAGAAAATGAAGCTGCTAAGTCTTCTTCTATTTTTTTAAATCACTAACATGATATTGCATTGAAGGAAAGAAAAAAGTCTCTATTTAATTTTTTTCTTCTTCCTAACTTGATGTGTTTCTGGAATGTCTTATTTTTAGATGGTATCACTGTTAGAACACTATTTTCAGAAGCTGAATGTAATTTGTGTAATAAAGTATTCGCAGAGCATTGGCTGTCAGAGTGTACTTTGGAATTTGTGCTTTCATTTTTTTTGTATATAACTTTTGTAGAAGTTGCAGGGGGCACTTAACACAGTAAAATTTTTAATGTGTTCTCCCAGCAGAGAAAAAAATGCTATTTTGTATGGAAGCTGGAAAAATATTTTGCTATGTCACAAGGTTGTTTGTTGTTTTGGTGTTTTTTTAAGACTAATAATCTGCATACATGTACAAAATCAATCTTAAACATTTAAAGAGGGATTTTACTTGTATTATAAAACTGCAAGGTATTTCCTTAATAAAACACATGGTCACAGCTAAGAGGAAACCTGTGTCTCAAACTAAATATGCAAATTAGTCAGGGTAGGCATTTAATACTAGCTGATTAGAAGTACATATTTTCTTTTTTTCTCTCCACACTTCTTTTTTCATTCATTCAACACAAACCCTCAGTCTTGTAATGAGCTCTCATATTTAGCAGCAGACTTACGGAAGTCCTGCTGGATAATTACCCTCTCTGTATGAGTCATCTGTACTGTGAATCATTGTGTAACATTATGACTAATCAGTCCAGTTTGAGGATCAGAGCATAATTAATGTCCTTTTAAAGCTGCTATTATAGCAGAGTGTACACAGCTGTAATTGCCACAGGGTTTTATGAAACAGTTTTCATTATCGTCATTGCAGGTGTTGTATGTAATAGGCTACTGCTGGCATTTAGGCTGCAAAATAGGCTTGAAGCTCCTTGTGGGGATTTTGCAAGGTTTATGGGGAAATAAGGGTAATGATAGTGGAGAAAAAGGTAAGATTTCTTCCCCCAGCAAGATTTTATAAATCCCCTTTTTCTAGGGGGAAAAAAAAACAAACACCAAAACCAAAACCCCAGACTTCAAATGCATTATAAGCTGGTTTCTCACATATAGCAAAATCTCCAGGAGAGTCATCTGAAATTCTGGAGTACAGGCAGTTTCATGTGAAATGTATTTTCTGCATACTCTTGAGTTGCTTCCTCTCTTGCAAATTTTTGTTTTCCTAATGTTATAAGGAAAACAAGGTGTTTCTTTCTCACTTTCGAATACAAATATTATTTTTGGCTGTGGCCTTGATCCTTGTGTATATGAACAAAAAGAAATCAGTTAGTTGAGAAGAATCCTCTGAAGCTGTCTGCAAAAATGCTAAGTCACTCGTTTACAGGAAGTTCCCAGTGACAGCAGTTAAGAAAGCTGTGGTGACACTGCTTTCATAGATGATGTATATGCCATCAGTTCTAAAAGATTGCAGAGTTTTCTTAAAAGTAGTCAATAAGGGTATATTTTTCTAACATTTGGTTAGCTCATGTTATGTCCAAGTGACATAATGTTCTTGGCCTCCATTAGCAGAGCTCAGTGGAAGTAATGTGCAGCTTCCCTCTTTGTCCTTTCCTTTATTTGAGCTGTGTCTCCAATTCTAGATAATGCTTTGATGAGAGGGAATCAGCCAAACAGTTTAATTGCAAGTACAAGCTAAAATAGATTAATTGAGCTTTAATTGTAATCTGAGCTCTGTGGAATTCAGACATTGGTCTCTACAATAATCCTGGGCTGCCTACAGAAAAGCAGGATGGAGGACCAGATTGGTGAGACCCCACTTGCAGTGCTGCATCCAGTCTTGGGGTCCCCAACATAAGAAGGATGTGGACCTCTTGGGTGGGTCCAGAGAGGCCAGAAGGAGGATCAGAGGGCTGAAGTACCTCTCTTGAAGTTGGGGGTTTTTCAGTCTGGACAAGAGAACGCTCCCCAAAGATCTCGTTTCGGCCTTTGAGTACTTAAAGTGGATTTATAAGAAAGACAAAAACTTTTTACCAAGGATTGTAGTGATGCGACAAGGGGGCAGTGGTTTTAAACTGAAAGAGGGATATTTAGATATCCCTCTTTCAGTTAGATATTTAGGTTGGATATTAGAGAGAAATTGTTTATTCTGAGCATAGTGAGGCACTGACACAGGTTGCCTAAAGAAGCTGTAGATGCCTCATCCCTGGAAGCGTTCAAGGCCAGGTTGGATGGAGCTCTGAGCAGCCTGGTCCAGTGGAAAGTGTCCATGCCCATGGCTGAGGGGTTGGATTAGGTGATCTTTATGGTCGCTTTCAACCCAAGCTATTCTGTAATTTTTAATAACTGCATGGAGAGGCAACCAACTACTTTCCAGCAGCAATCAAATTTCAGCACCTCAGTTTCATGCTCTAATTTTGTACAGGTACAATGGCAAAACTGGAACTTATGAAGCTACCTGAAGGCACTGAATGTTCTTTATCTCTTATTAAAGCTGCATTTTATGAAAACAATGTACTAGAGACTTCATACTTCAATAGGAAAATTAATGTAAAAAGGAAGATATAAGCTTTATGAATCACAGTTCTCATTTTAATAAGCCAGCAGACAATTCTCCATCCTAACAGGTTCTATGTGCTAATACTATTTATTGTATTAAATGTCGAATTCTGGTCATTCGATCTAAACTTTGGAGAGCATGTTTAAATCAGTTTTCAGCAGTTGTTGCAGATAAGACTCTGCTTTAATGAACAATATGTAATTGCACATTTTAAGATTTAAAAGACATGGTCCATGTGTTGTTGATTAATCTTTTCTTAAGTCTTTCAAAGAAAGAATAATCTTTGCTATTGTAGGGGCTGAGTATTTTCATTAAATTAAGCTGACCAAGTAGCAAAACACCTTCCTGTACTGTATTAAGCATCTCCCTATTTTAGACAGTCTGATGCATGGGGAGTCTTACAGAGTTAAGGGAAGGTGGCTGTGATCTCAAGTAATTTTTGGCACCTTTTTGTGAACCTGCGTAAAGTGCAGGCAGACTGGGGCAACTGCAAGGTGCCATGAGGAGGATGCACTGATGTGTGACACACACACTGCCACCCACATCACCTGAACATATCCCAGTTAACTGAAATTAAAATCCCAATTAAGCAGCTATCCTTGCCACCAAGTATCATTAGGGGCAAATGGATTCCTTCAGAAGCATCTTGATTGAGTAGTTTTCTAATCAAGCAGTACACTGTAGAGTAAATGAGGATTTATAGATCATTGTGGTAAATTGCAAAAGCTTCTTTCTTGCCAAAACCAGACTTATTTAAGTTTTATCGGAGTCTTTAGGTCAGTAGTGGCTATCATGCTACAGTGCATTAGGATTAAGCATGTGCCATGCTACAGAGAAGGGGCTTGGTAATTTTTAGCTTGCCATTCAAATACACATGTGGGAACTTGCTTGAAAGACATGATATGTATTAGCAGTAAAAGTTGTGGGGAACATCACTACTGAGCAATTCAAAAGCAACTTTATTATTTAATTACTTAATTGCACATTAGGGCATACTTTAAAATTTTAAAGACTATGTTGTTATATAGTTCACAGTTTGTGTGGATTCATGTACTGTACCAGTAAAAAAAGCCCCAAACCAGAACCGAATATTCAAGTCAATTAAAATTAAGAGCTGAAATTAAGCCACTGTAGTTTCTATGTAAAACAGATGCTACTGAACCCTACAGTTTTAGCACCCTGATTTGCCTTTATGTGTTGGCGTTTTTAAATACTTACACAATAAAATATTTTTATTCTTTATGTGAATTATCAAAATTTTTAGTAAAATTTACACTGTGTCTGCTCTTTAGGCTTTTCTCCAGTAATGGGGAAAAATTAGATTTCTCTGTATTACAAATTAGTAGCCAATTTGATTAATAAAAGAAGAAATTTATTCTATAATCAAATTACAATCATAAAAAGGAAACCATAAGCAAAAATCAGTTTGGTGCTGTGCCAGGCGAACAGCACCAGGTGAGACAGGGAGAAGGCTATCTGCAGCACTTCCCCACCATGCTTCACAAACTGCAACTGTCCCAAGGTGCTTTTTGTATGTTTTCAGGCTCTTCAGGGGTCCTTTGGAATACACTGCTTGTGGACAAATATTCATGTTGGCCTTGCTGCATATCACTATAATCTTGTCAGAGAAGGTTTCCTGGAAATATGCTAGGAGCATTATCAGACAAGATTATAATTTTAGCACAGATTTATGTATGCTATGTATTACATCTGTATAGCTAAGCCTTACTGGCAGAAGAAAAGGGGAGAGCTGACAATGTAGAGGAGGATTTAAAATCTACAGTGATAGCTACTTATCCAAGCAAAACATGCAAACTTCTTGCTATTTCTAGATGTGGTGGCCAAAAAACCTAAAAGAACATTCAGCTGGTGTTGCTTTGGAAAGATAGTGCATGGTAGTCAACCTGGAAGCTGCACTAGATTTTTTCTAAATACTACAGGTCATGAATGCACTTTACACTGTTTCTTTCTTTATCTCCATTCCACTCATGTTTCTTATTAAATTAATGAGTTGCATGTGAAGCATGACATCATGTGAGTGAAGTTCTGTCTGATTTCACTGCACAGCTTTTAGAAAATATACAGATGCTGTATGGGCAGTATTCTTCTAGGGCACTGTGCCAAAGTACTGGTTTAAAGATGTAGTGGAGTAATTTTTTTCACCTAGAAAATAGTCAGTGGTAGCAGCTCAGCAAACGAGCGGAATTATTAATTACAGACTACATTTATTCTTCTGAGACATAAGATGCTAATGTTTTTAATTAGGATCGGAGATTTTTTTCAGAATTGAGATTAGGCAAGTGCCGTAATAAGCTGAAGTTTGTGCTACTTACTATTTAGGGTTTCAGGGCAGAACGCTGCCCTGGCCACTGCAATTCTCAGTGCTCTGAATACCCTCTGGCCTCTGTTCCTTCTTCCTTCAGCCCTGACACGTCCTAAAATGACTGCTCAAGAGATAATTACTTGCAGAAACAAGGGACTGAGTCCCACAGTTCTGCCATGTTTCCTCAGACCGGCTCTCAGGTCACACACACTGCCACACACGAGGAAGTGGAGGCATGCCTTTATTCCCTGTCAGATCCTGCTCACCGCAACCAAGTGAAAGATGAGCACTTCTTGGGAAGGTGTAAAGCTGTACTGAAAGTTTACCATAGTTGGCAGCTGTGGTATAAAACCAACACGCAAGTTGTTTTATACTCTGGATCACGTAACAGGTCAGTCACGCAGCCTTCACAAAATGCAGGTCATGTTCTCTTGGAAATGTAATGCTCCCGTAATTATCGACAGTTCTGTGTGAAAATTCCCGAAAATGGTGCTGCGAAGGTAATTTCGAGAGGAAGCCTCGGAAGTTCAGCGGGCAGCAGCTGCTGCGAGCCCCGCGTTCCCGCAGGCGGCGGCTGCCGCGGCTCCAGGCTGCCACCGCCCGACCGACGCTCCAGCACAAATCCTGAACGTCTCCAGAGCGAGACAAACACACAAAGATAAGGCTCCAAAAAATTATTTTCCGGTATGACACTGTAACTATGCGCTCTGCTTTCCCTCTTCTTGGTCTTTTAATCTACGGGAGCGATGGAAGAAGTTTCTGACTAGGTAAAGACTCAGAAGCAATCTGGTGGGGAAGCACAGGTATCATTTACTGTGCATCACTGAAATGCTGCACAGAACAGAATTCATTTTCTTAAGGGCTTTTCTATAGGGGCTTTTATCATTATGTCTTCCAGCTTTGTGAAGAGTAATGAGTATTTTTTGCAGATTGTCTGGAATCTGATATGGTGTTAATTACTGTCTACAGAAGGGGGAAGTGAGGCATAAGGATATTAAAAGCATCAATTGCCAAAAATAATCAACTAATTTTGGGTAATGAATTTGTGAAATCTGATTTATTCCCTTTTAACCCACTTACTCAGATAGCACTTTACATATTCAAGGCTCCAATTCTTGCCACCAGCTGCAGCTCTGAATGCTCCAGCTCTGCTGATGAGTTTTGAGATGCTTCTCAAGCACCTAAAAAAGAACTCACCCATGTGAGTAATGAGTTGTACATGGAAATAGAGAAATACAGAAAGTTGTATCCCAGTGATCTGCTTGTCACTGTACTAGCAATCTGTAGCAGGGCAGCACTGCTTGGAAGAGGAGACATGCTCTATTTCCTATGATAGTTATTGTTTTTTTGCACACCTGCTTCTGCTACCAGTGCAGCAAGGTTGCTGCAGATTCCTTCATCTATGCACAAGTCGAAAGGAGAACTGACCAGGGAATGCATCTCTCAGGATTAACTGCACCAAAATCAAATGTTTTAAAATTCAGTTTACTATCTGGTTACTGCTAGCTGGAAAAGCCTTCCTCTTCAAATTAAAGCTTTTTGTGTAGTGCTTTTCATTAAAAATTTCTACATAGTTTGGTTACCAAGACATAAACAGAAGACGAGCAAGTCTTCCATTAGGTGCAGAAGAGAATAGTACCCGTTTCCTAAAGACACTGCTAAATCTTGCTTCTTTGTGTCAGTTTTGGCAAAACAGTGGGGTTTTTTCCAGTTTCCAGTGATGTTCTTCATGTCAATAGTTTGAAAACCCTGTATTTTATTTCAATGAGCCCCATGCAAAGAAGGCCACCTTTCAGTGCACTGATAAGTCACTAATACCTGCTCGTTAATACAGTAGATCAAAATACCAGGAAGCCTGAACAATCTGCAATATAATAAATGTACAGAGTAGTTAAATGTTTCTGTGTTTTCCTCATTATTCTCTCACTGCAGCATCTGCTTTCTCTTCAATGTAGCTCTAACAATTCCACACTCCAGAAAACAGTTCTGCTGTACTGTGCACAATTCAGGAACTGAGCACTTGGAGTAAGAAAAAAATAAGAGAGGCTGGTTCTCTTTTGCAGCTACCAAAGCAGAAATGAGGCTTACAAACAATGCCTTACTCTCCATTTTTATCCCTGACACTAATATTTTCCTCAAAAGCATGACATATAAAAATAAATATTTATTCCATGTGTGCACACCCACAGTGTATTCAGAAAGACTCTTTCTGAAGTCTTGGTGGAGAGAAACTGCATCTGTAGGACTGCATTTTCAGAAGACACAACATAGTTTGGGTATTAATTATTTTTCATTTGAAGTTAAAGATAGGATTCTGTCACGGTGCTGTGCATCCCACAGATGCATTTCATGATATCAAAGACATACTGCACTGTGCATGTCAATTTCTGTAGGAGGCAGGCACTTAATCCGCCTTGATGACTAGGTCTAATTGCCTAAAATTAACTGAAAACTCCTAATAAATACTACTTTCCTCCACCTGTGTTATAAGTCACATGACATTCAGGAGCAGAAATGAGAAGGAACACACAAATTCAGAGAGCAAGATAAGCAAATCTTCCACAGCACCATCCAGAAGTCGCAGAATTGTTCAATTCAGTTGTCTGCTAGTTTTCTTCATCTTTCTATCAATCTATTAAAAAAAAAAAACAACCAGCCAACCAACACAAAACAAAAAAACAAAAACCCACAAAAACCCAAACAAACAAAATCCCCCCCAAAACACCAACCAAACCAGATCTGCACACATCAGTTTTCCATATAAAAAAATTCCTGTGCTACTGACTTTGAGAAACAGTGGTCTTATCAGGAAGCCCAGACCATTAACATGTACCCAAGAAAATCAGAGAATAAGTTAATACCAGTGCTTCACCTTTCATAGCCCACTGTCCATGGAAAATCTCACAACGTGCACAGGCTCAGTGAAGAGGTAACTGAAATGGAGAATGTGTTTATGGAAAAAGCACAAATGAATATTAAATGCTCTTGAGATTTTTTCATGTGTCTGAAATATTAAAACCATCTACACTAGCAGACTTTTGATGAGCAGGGAACAGCTGCAGCCCTCATTGTTTCATGCATAGAACACCACATGCATTTGATTTTGGCAGTTATATTGTTTTGTGAGATCTTAAATGGATTAGACTAGAAATTAAAAATTGTAAAAGTCAGAGGCTGCAGCTTCCCAGAAAGAATAGAAAACTGTTATAGAACAGGAAAAGGAAGACATGAGCTTCTCTGTAGTGGAGGGAAAATTTACACCAACTTGCTTAGATTTAATTCATCTCACTTTGAACAGACACATTAGGAATGAGTCATCCAAGGGTTAAATGGTCATTACAGTGAAATGATGCATTGTCCTGGGAGGATAAGAGTAAGGCACAGCCACATTGACATTCTACCAACAAAATCTGAAATTTAATTGCATGATCAGAATATGTGCTTTTTCTTAACATCCAGACAAATTAGATACCTGAAGCACTTTTAGACCCACAAAAGAGTAAAACAGATTGGGCTAAATAAGTTGGAGCTATTACTTTTTTTTTTTTTTTTTTTTTTTAAGTTTGTAACAGTATTTCTAAGCTGCTTGGCAATGAAATGTGATAGAAGAGTATGCTTAAATATCCTCTGTCTTTGTCTGAAGGGTCCAACAAGGTGAAAGCCATTGCTCTGGCTTTGCAGTGTTTGATCTGATGCAATGATCTTCTCTCACCTCAGACTCATCTGCTGACACTTGGTCTTTGCTGGCTGCAGGTAGAATCTGCACAGCAGACATGACATCTCTTCTGTAGTCATTTATTTCTTTTTCAGCAACAGAATCTGGTTGGTTTGAATTATCAGATCTTTCAGATAAGCCAATATAATCATGGTCAGAAACTACTGCACCTTGTAGAATGTAATGGTTGCCTGTAAAAGGAAAGGAGCTATTAGTTCAGATCCCTGTAGCCACTAAAATGTTAGTGAGGTGCTAACTTTTCAAAGCAATTTCCAAAAGAAGACAAGAATGTTTGAGTGACAGCAGACTGATAATGTGAATTTCCCAATTTCACTGAGCATCAAACGTTTGGCATCTCCTTAAGTCCACAAAATAATTCTTGTGATGATCCACACTTAGAGCTTTTCTTAGCTAAGTCAATGACTAGCTTGATGTCTATCATCGTCACCTATTGAACTAACAGCTTGAATAAATGGACATGTAGATTCTTTCATTTTGTGCATGCACACAGAAAAATGTAATTTCTTCAAGCTCTCGCTGGGAAAACTTACTGCAACACAGATAGCTCTCTTAAACAGTAAAAAGTTTAAAAACTAAGTGAAGTAGGGAAGTAAAAAAAAAAAAATACAAAAAAACCCCCAAACCAAAATCTATCCCAGCCAAGACCAAGACAGTCACTTCCTGAAAAAAGGGAATTCTGTTTACACGCTGTTTCTGCAGTATTCAGCAGTAAACATATTAGGCTCTAATACTACAAAGACCACTACTTTCAGCTTTTTATACAGTGAGACAATTTACCCAAAGTTACTGTAATTGCTGTTCATTATCTATATGTTTGATATGCATCAGCATATATGCTCATGCATCAGCAATTTAATGAGGAACCAGAAGGCACAGTGTGACTGTCAAAAAATAGTGGCCTCCTGACATGACATGAAGTCAGTATCTTAGTTACAAAATGACGACTGACAAATATTTCAACTTGTTACATGAAGTTCCAGAATTAGTTTCAGCTTTGCAAATCTCTCAGCTTTAAGAGGCAATGGAAGAAATTACCATATCAAGGTAGTTTATATATTTACAAGAAGCAAAGTTTGACCACATGTGCCAATAGTGTGGGAATTGTTCTGCTTTTCAAGAATTCCGAAGTAAACAGCAGCTTGTTCTGTGACATAAGTCTCCTGTACAAGTATTTAATTTTTTTAAAAATGCCTCTGGTGACTCAAAGACAGCACGAGCAGAAAAGAAACAGCTGCCACTATTTGATTTGTCAAAGGGCAAGCTAACAAGAGTAGAAGCTGGTTATCCAAATCTTCGTAAATTTCTAGCCATCCTACCACAGAGCATGTCAATTTTATTTTCTCCGGTAAGAGAAACACTTGACTTCTTTAATAGAACAACTTAAAATAAACTATTCCAGAATCAGTTCTCTGATGATGTAGTCTTCCTTGTTTAAGGCTTTAGAAGACACTCCAATGTTGAAAAAAAGAAAAAGTTTCCATTGCACAAGCAAAATTTATGTGAATCCTGCCTACACCAGAACCGAAACACAATCAGAAAATGCTCCTTGGACACAGTTCAGCCTGCTTATACTTCTAGATTGTTTCTACACTTCTATCAGCCAGCACAAATAGAGCCAAAACAGTGACTAGAAGCAACTTCAATAGAGGCTATTTTTAAAAAGACTTTGAACAATATTCATGAGCTCTATTACATGCTCTGCACAGTTTGATGTCACTCACACACTCTTCTCCTTACTGAAAAGTACAGTACTGAAAAGTACAGCTTTTTTTTAAACACATTACTGTGTTTGCTAATACAATTCCCACTGGTGAGTGAATGATACCTTTTCATTCTAATAACCTAACACCACAAAAGAGAAGTTAAAAAAAAAAAAACAAAACAACTTTTTTTACATACATAAAAATACAAACTTAAAAAAAAAATCATATACACCTTTTTCACTGGACCCTCTTATATAAGGCTTGAGGTGAGACATCTTGATGGGTCTTTTCAGCCTGGATCCTGTGGAATCTCTCAGTATTGCACAGCCATTTTCTGTGATATAATCTATGATACAAGGACCAATCCATTCTGACTGGAAACGACCATCTTTCCACCAGTTTTTTCTTTGCCTGAGGACTTCATGTCCAACTTTAAGCTGAAGGGTATTTAATTGTTTTGTCTTCCTTTTGACTGTGATTTTGGCTCTGGTTTTTTGTTCATCTGAAGTTTTTTCGTCTGCCTACAGAAAGATACATGTAAAATTTTTTTCCAAAAAGTAATAATGCAATTTTGTAGCATTGGTTAACAGTGCTTAAGTATGACATTGAGTGGTTTTGGATGTGTGTAGTTTGTAATTATGTGGGACTGATGAGTGATGAAATTGCTTTTAACTTCAGAAATCACTAATCCATAGGCAATAGTTTTCAACTTCTTTATTCTGCCCTGTAAGTCAGACGTAGTAAACTTCTGACAATAGGTCTCTTTTAAGGTTACTCCCTCAAAATACATATGAGATGTGTTACACTGAAATTAAGAGGTCACGAGGGAAGGAAAACAAACTGGAAACCACCACTCAAACCCCCACATTATTTTAAAAGGTTAGTTATACTTTATGCCTCAGAACTTTTCATCTTTATCTTCACTCTTCTTACTAGTAAAATTAAAATACACAACATTTACCTGGAAATCTGAGGTTTTCTCTTCTTCCAGTGCTTGACTGAGTTTTTTAGTTGCTTCAAATATTTTGGCAAAACTGCTGTATCCTCCTTCCACAAATATACTCATGGGCTCAACAACATGTGGGTTACGGTTGAACATTTGGAAATATGGGGTGTTTTTATCTGGCTCCTATTTATATGGGGACCAAAAGCAAGCAAATTTAGCATCCAGCTTCACAGACATTTTGGAAGACTTCAGTCAAAAGAAGAAGAACCTTCACATACCAAATTTGTCAAATTGAAAGCATAGGCTATAGCAGACAAATGCTCATCCCAATCATTTGGATGGTCATTGCAATACTTGTTAAGGAAACTTTTGATTGTCTTGGACATTCTTTCATTTACATCATCTGTCTGAGGATAAGACAATACAATTTGTTCCACTCCAAACAGTGCAAACAGTTCTTCATTTATCTTCAAAAGAAGAAGAACACAATTAGTGAACATTTCCCCTGTTCTGTATCTCATTTCAAGTAAAAAACCTCAAGTTTTTCACCCCTTTTGTTGATATGATGGTGACTGGGAAAAATTTTGCATACATATTGGCACAAAACACACCAGGGCTGTGAATGAGAGCTAAAGCAGTAAGTAGGCTTAGGAGCCAGTGTTTGATGGTTCCTAGCAACATTTTTGCCACTTAAATCAATCTATCATTACCTCCATATCACAGTCTGATGACATCATCATCTCTGAGAGGAACTAAGTGCAACAAGTCCTTAATAATCACTATAAGGCAATGTCAAAAATACCCTTAGCTATTGCTATACTGGGCAATATGTGTGAATTATATACAGCAAACTGCAGTGTACAAATTTATGCCAGTTCAAGTAAGTGACAAAACCTGCACTATGACTGCAAGGAAATAATTTTACTTTGTTCTTTCTACAAAGAATAAAGCCCTGGGAGACACTGCATAACATTACAATTGCAAATAATTGGTTTGACACTTGTTGTATGTGCAAACTTCATTGCTTTTTCAATTAAAGAAAAAAAAAAATACTAAAGTCTTTCTCAAAAGCAATCTAAAATTCAAATCTAATGTAAGGGAAAATGTATTTTTTCTTGAGGGGAAAACACAACAACAATAAAAAGAGATTAACTAGCCATGTAAATAATTACCTGATAAACAAGCTCCTTCCCTTGATCAATAGGCATCTTTTGAGGTGGCCCATATAAGAAAAACACATTTATGATGGCCTTGGCAATTTCAGCTGCTGAAGTGTCATGCAGTGGTAAGATAACAGTCCATCTTGTAAACAAATCTGTCATAATGATGATGTATTTGTGACTTCTGTTGGTAACATTGAAAGGTCCCGTTAGGCCTATAGTGACTGCAGCCCATGGGTCCTCTGCTTTGATGTGGTGTATTTTGGGCACTCTGGTGGCTATGTTCTTTGCTGCCTGGCACTGCTGGCAAGCATACACCTAGAGAAGACATCAGGAAAGATGTTATCAAAAGAAAAGTGACAGTAAGGTGATGACAACCACCAGTTATAGATCTCTGCTATTTGTCTGTAAATCAGGTCAGATCAGGCAATGCAAAACAAATTTATCACTGTTCTTACAATTTTTTACCCTTAGATTTCTCAGAAACAGCATAAAAAAAAAATAAGACCAAACAATACTAAAGGCCAGACGAGGAACATATAAAAGAACTTATAGCTGAATTCTCTCCATTCTGAAAGCACTGTGCTCTTTCAAGTCCACACTACAAATTTTAAAATCCGGTACTATCTCTAAATAATAAAGGAAGTAGGAAGCAACTGGGAGTGAAAGGAAGTCCTAATCATTCCCCATTTGGCTCATCTGTGTTTTAACTTTTCAATTTGTTTTTTCTTCTCTCGATTCTGATGCACTTTTTCTGTACTTTTCTTAACTCCTGGATTTCTCAGTCCCCTTTGGGTTGAGCTCCTTTGAGATACTCCTTCACGGGGAATCCTGCTTATCTCAGTTCTCTGGGTTTGAAGAAAACTCCCAAGCTCGTTAGAATCTTGTTTCTCATGTTCATTAGGATGTTATTACAAAACTTGGCGGGTCTCTCCAGACTATCTGCACAAGTTCAATTCACTGCAACCTGGCTCATTTTGCTCTGATGGTACAAAATGGCCCTGAACCATGTGGCTTTGTATCTATTTTTACCCTATTAACTAGGGACACATGTATTGTTTTTATATTTTAACAAAAAAGTTTTCTGTATCTACTTATGTAAGTAAAACTGCGCCTAACTTTCAACCAATCACTCTCTGTGCTTTTAAAAACTGCAGAATCATGGAGAAGGAAAAAGGAGAGCTAAAAACCACACCTTTTTTCCTCCATTTATTAAACCATCTAAAATCTGTATTTTTCATCTTAGTGGCATACTAAACATTCTACTACCTTCTACCCATTTTTTTAAAAAAATCCTGGTTTACCCAGGGATATTTGGAAGTCTTTCTGTCAGTGGCAGATAGGATTAATACTTTTTTGGAGAATAGGACAAACAGAGAAATGTCTCTCCATTTCTGGGTTCCTACATATGTATGCTGTGGTTGAAAAACACTGGAAGTATACATAATCTTCCATGCATAACAACTTCATCTATGGGACAGAGCACCTTTGTCCAATCTAAATTGGAAGGAAAGACTCATTTTCATTTCATGTGAACTCCAAGTATTCAGGTGATGCAGCAAGCCGATAGCAACGGTAATTTGGCCTTAAAGGGCATTTACATATAGTTTCCTGAAGGATCAAATTCTTCTAGGGGTCCCTGCTCCTGCATCTTTGGGTGAAGAAGGAACTTCCCCAAGCTTCGATGTGTTAACTATTTCCTGAACACACCTAATTGTAAAGCAGAGACATTATCTGCTGGCAGCTACTCTGGTCACACATGCTTGTGATGGCACATTGCATCCTAACAAAGATATGTGAGAATTCTCACACAAGAAATCTCTCTCAGGGACCAGATGTGCTCTGCCTGCCAAAAGAGATCATGGCTCCCCACCACACCATAGAGGTGTGCAAGCCAGTAGTAAAAGTAAAAAGAAATAAAAAGTAGTAAAAGAGTAAAAAGAAATGCCATGCTTTGCCAAGATGACCAGCTGTAGTGTGACTGCAAGTTCACGTTTCCTCCTCATGAAACAGCCTGGGTACTTGCTGTACCAAAGTTCATAGGATTACCAAACGTTTGTAACAGACTACACAAAGCATCCTGTAGCTATGAGGCCATACCCACTGCTTGACATCATTTGTTACAGAGGTCCAGTAGTAATTAGACTCCACTAAAGTCAGTGTCCTTGATATACCATGATGAGTGCCAGCAGCATTTTTGTGGCATTTCTTGAGGACCTTTTTCTTCTCTTCATCTGAAACAATTACCAGGCGCATTTGTTTTCTGTCTTTTCCAACATAGAACAACTTGTTTTCTGAAAGAAGTACCAGCAAATTATAAGCAAATGCTTTGTCTTCTGGTTAGTTTACGAAACTACTGAGCATGACTCAGAATAGAATTTATTACAATAAGTTCACTTTGGTGTAAACATAGGTTTTTGTTAATAAACATTTCAATTATGTCCTCCGAAGAGCCATTAGTTCAACCATGTTTATTATCCAGACACAAGGAGTTAAAAGGGCAAGTCAGAATGCAAACAGCATTCCCACAGGAAGTCTGACTGAAACACAAACACTGGGACTGGAAAGGGGAGGTAGGAATGTTGAAACTGTTGTTTGTGAAGCTGTTGGGTGACTGCCAGCAACCTGACACTGATAGTCACAGATTTAACTCCTCCCTGCCTTCTCTCTACCCAACATTGACAGTTTTGATGGGACTGGACAGCACAGCAGACTACAAAGGTTCATAAAGGCTTATATATCTCCCAGGGCTGCAATAAAGTCAGGAAGGGCCTGGAGGCTTTCAGGTGACTGATGGCAAAGTTGCTCTTGCACTTCTGCCCAGACATCCCCCAGACTGGATGGAGCATTTCTTGTCTCTACTTGTAGATCTATTTCCCTTTCTGTAATCCTTTCAATTATGGATTGCAGTGGCTACATATTTCTACAGTATATAAAATATGGTTTGGTTTTTATATAGATAAATAGACCTGTCCTGAAAAGGACTAAAGCAGATTGAGCTTCCATTTCTACAAACATCCTGTTATATAATAATCAGGGATTTGCAGTGCATTTGTCTCATACAGAATGTTTATTAAAATCACAGAATGCTGCAAAGCAAGAGCTCACTTTTTTTTTTTCATATTAGCAAATATTCATGTTAATATCTACTTTTAGCATAATTTGAGAGAAAAGCTTTACCCTTGATAACAAACTTTTTGGCAGCTTTCCTGATTCCACTTCTTTCACTTGATAATGTTGTGGGATGATATTCCCCTGTTCGTTTGTAGTATGCAATCTGCTTCAGGTGGAGCCCACCACTTTTTCCACTACGAACCATTGCAAATCTGAACAAAACGGACAGAATTTATTAGATAAATTGTCAAAGAAGCACATCTTGAAGTTTTTACTTTCTTTGTAGCTCAGAAGCATCGTGGTTATGTATCCTCTAAGAAGAGGCTATACACATCCACTATCCACAGTCAACTTTAGCAACATGGAACACTGCTTGAAACATTCATTTTGTTCTAAGCAGAGTTGGTTTTGTCAAACTATATTTTAAAAATTCCACACAATGCAGACTTCGACTATACTCATTGGACAGGGAAAGGAAATGGTATCAGAGAGAAAGAAATTCTCATTGTTGGATACCTCTCAAATTAAGTTGTACTGGTGGTTGTTCAAAGATCCACCTCAGTTGAGAAAAATCCACATAGGCAAATAGGAAAAAAAACCAGCTTCCCAGAGAGAAACTAATATAAATTAATTTTTTTCAGTAATTAATCAGACAATTAGATTTTGAAATTCCAAACCAGACTCAGCATGTGAGGTAACAATTTGTTCCTTGACATGGGCTGACTTCCCTGAGAACATCAATAAGCAATAATGTAATTAGGAAAATGGGCCACTGATACAGAACATATTTGGGTTTAGCAAGAATAGCACCAAAATAATTATGTAATAATGAAAATCAAAACATTCACAGGCAGGATTATTGTTGCAGCCTCCATATGATTTGAATGGTTTGCTTTTTTTCAAATCTGTTCCAGCAGCATAGACAAAGCAGAATTTTAATCCTGCTCTCGTAGATGTCTGCAGGAAGAGGGTCAAGCTTGGGTCTGCTCCAACTATAACATACAATTATGTTATAATTTCATAGTGAATGCTGGCTACCCAGAGCATTAAGTAATTGATTCCTTATCCTGCTACTGTTCCAGTGCCATATTGTGACAGTATGTAGCCTGCTAAAAAAGTAAATAGTTTGTCTGCCATATGTGCTAAGTGGCTTATAATTATGGGTAAGTGACAGTATTCAGCCACTCTGGAACGAACATCATCTCATTATATGGTGATGCTATCGGAAAACAGTATGTGTAAAACAAAATATCTATTTTTTCAATTTATAGATTCTCACCTACCTTTACTATGTTGGTGATGGGAAGGAGATAAAGACCACATAAGAGCAATTATATCCACTTTCATTTCATCCTTTCCTCACAGAAAATAAAATGCTGTATGTTATTTTTGGAACTTGCACCCTGAGCTAAGCACTGCTGGTAGCAATGGCAAATGCATGCCAGGAACTTCCCATTCAAAATGTAACAAGACTTTTGCCTCACTGAATACTTCATTTCACACAACCTAGAGCTAGTTTTCAAAATAAGCCAAGTCTGTCATACAGCAGTTGTGTTATAAAGTAAAAAGTTTCATACCTGAGATAACTAACACAGATGTACTTTCCAACACCACGATCTAGCCTGTAAAGAAAGAGAGTGTTTCAGAACAGGGAAGGAGAGGAGCCAGAACACAGGACTGTTCTGACATATTAGTTTCCTGTAAATTTACAACTGACAGCACGTGCTGGTAAATTTGTTAACTAACAGCAGAAAAGCAGGTGAGGCTACCATGAAGTAAATTCATGTTTCCGTTGTTTACAAAAAGCCAATTAACTAGTATTTCTGTGAGTGAAAGAACATTGGTGAAGGGCAATTAAAATATCCCATCTGCCAGGGGGACACACTCAAGTTCTAATCAGGGGTTTCCTCAAGGCCAGTCCTGCACTTAAGTCACCTGAAGTCAAAAGTAGCCAAGTATGACCTGTCACTTAACCACAGGGATGATGGACTCTTTTGGCTTGACACAGACTTTCACACATGGGAAAAGATCTTACAGAACCATCTTTATTCTTCCAGTACTTTTGAAACTTGCCTGAAGCAAATATTCTCCATGAAGCCCAAAATTGCCCATTTTAATAAAATGAAGTTGCACAGCAACAAGATACTTCTAAGCAAGACCACAACATACTCTTCAGCTAAGCAGACACAGTATCCACATTTCTGCAATGGTAGTTTCTGTTATAAGCCTTTTGAAGAGCTTAGGTAAGCCAATGAAGAAAGAATGTGCTATGTAGCACCCACATACATTAATTTAGTATTATAATTAGTAAGATTCTGATCCAGCAAACTATTAAGTGCTGAAGTCTGCTGGATTTCTGCCTAATATTAGCTTCCTTCCTGGATATTTAGTTTCCTGTGCCCTTACTAATCTTGTCCCCCACTACCTAATTTACTTTGTTTGGCTGACTCCTAAAAAATGCCAAACAAAACAGCTCTGAAAAAAAAAACCCATAAAATTTTCTGGTTTTCTTATCTATTCAGGTAATCCATATGCTATGTCTCATATATTCATAATGCATCTGGTAGTCTAAAAATCGAAGACATAAAATTAGCTATCCATTTTCTAATACATTTGAAACTCGAAAAGTATATACTAGAAAGTACTTTAACAAAGAGAATGAAATTTCCATATAACCAAAGGTCTTTTTGCTTAGTGGCTTAGCCAAAGTAGTCATATCTGCTAATACTCAGCTATTTCATCCTTTAATGCCCATTTTCTCACAATCCTAACTGCAAAACTGTTCTTTCAGTCCAGTTTTTGACCAATTCCTCTACCTCTGACTGCTGTTCCTACAGGAAACAGAAATTGCCTGTGGAACCCTGAATCATCGTCACAGAATGGTTTGGGATGGACCTCAAACTTCCAAACTGCTACATGCTGCTCAAAGCCCCAAACTCACTTGTGCTCCAACACTTCCAGGAATGGGACAGACAGTTTGCCTGGGCAACCTCTTCCCGTGTCTCACATCCTCTCAGTAAAGGATTTTTTCCTGATATCTCATCTAAACTTGCTCTCTTTCTTTGAATCCATTCCCCCTTCCCAGTATATGCTCACGTAAGAAGACTCCCCTCAGCTTCCTTAAAGGCTGTGTCCAGTACAGAGCTTCAAAACACCGCTTTTCTACCCCAGGTACTTCAAAGAAAGTGTAAATCAGACTAACAGACTCGCCTACATTCCTCCCTGGTTTTACAAGCGTGACAGAAGGCGCCTAAGAGGCCGAGTGGCTAGCCGCGCCAAGTCGCGTCCTGCCGCCCGCGGTGGCGCCAGCCGCCATTCAGAACTCCCAGCAGCGATTCCTCTCGGGGAGGCACCTGCACATCCCCGCTCCTGCCCACAGCACTACACTACCCAGCGTACACCGCTCCCGCGCACGGCATGCCGGGAGCGGCGCTCGAGCGACCGTTCCCTGGGCCTCGCACCCCGCGCATGCACCAAGCGACGCCGACGCGACCTTTTTGCTTCCAGCTACCGCCCCCCCCCGCCACCCTCTCGGCCCGGCGGGCACAGCCGGAAACATCCGCCGTGCCGTGGGCACACACCTTCTCCGGCAGAGGTACCGGCAAGGCCCGTCGCGGGGGGCCACAGTTTCCCGGCCAGGTCAAGNCGCGCTGCCCCGCCTGTTCCTCGTGCTGCTGCTGCGGCGGGCATGGCCCATGTGCGCTGTCAGCGCTTTGTCTCTGCGTCCTTCTGCCCTCGGACGGGGTTTCGCTGAAGCAGCGGCTGTGCCGGATGCGGGCTCTGTGGGGTTGTAGCGTGCGGGTGCTGTCAGTGTCAGGTGATGCGTTTTGGTACAGGTGAGCACGGGGTGGAAGGTGGTGTGTGCTTAAACGGGGAGGGAGAGGGAAGTGATAGAGTATCTTTTGGAGCTTTGCGTTTGGAACACCCTGCTAACATCCCAAAAACTGATGATAAATTCAGTATAAAATAAGCTGGAGCAAAGGAGATTGCTGTGTATAATCAGAATAGGGTAAAAAAAAAATAAAAAATAGCACCAGCAGCCCCGAAGCTGAGAATTGGCTACACGTCGGGAGCAGAGATGAGAGAGCTGGAAAGATTGCATGTCCCGTGTAGCATTTATTTTTTGTTTTCGTGGTGTTTTCCAGAACTTGGGAAGTTTATAGAATATAGGTTAGCTTTGAAAATGCTGGAGGTTTTGTACTTCTATTGTTTCTCTGTAGTAAGTCAAAAGCAGGAAGGTTTGGGGATATCAGTATCACAACCACAAGGAAATAAGTGGTTTTCTTTCTCATACAAACTACTTCTAATGCTGACATACCCTTCACAGCTGTTTGTAGCAGTGCTTCTGTATTGTTCTGTTGGTCTTTTTAAGGGCTGTTTCCCTCTATCTGTTTAGCCTGTATCTTTCTATCTTTTCTGCATCCCTTCTGTATCATCTCAGTGCTCTAATTAACAAGGCAAGCTTGTTGTTTTTTTTTTTACTTGGAGTACCATAATTCTTATTGAATTCATCTTTGTCTAGGTGAACAAGGTTTGATTCAAGCAGTGCCAAAACATTTCTTGCTATGTAAACCTTATTTTTTTGTGGTATGTGGTGATGTAGTATGCCTCTTATTGGTCAATATGTGAGAAATTCGAATTTTTACACTGATTGGCTTGTCTTGGTTGTCTGATTCTTTCTATGGAAGAAAGTTCGAACCTTCTGGCAGTTGTGATAGAACAGATCAGGCCACCAGAGGCTCAGCCAAATGAGCTTGGGTACAGATATTTTTTTGTAAAACCTCTCATCTCTCATCAACATCATCAACAAAGTTGCATTAAAATTCTTTGTGAGAATGTGGAGAAGCTGTTTTGACATCTGTGAGTGGGATCTTTAAAATTTTGGAAGCCAGCCTTCCTGAAACATTCAAACTTGTCTCAAATATAAATTACTTTATGTAATGTATTTGATAGAGTTTGATTTAGAAAGGAACTTGGAGGTTAATGAATGTGAAGGTTTACCTATTCTGTGGCTGTGCAGGAGACACTTAAACACATGCCAGATGTCAGTTTGTGTAGTGTGCTAGTTTAAAATAACACTGCCTTTCTGTCTGGAAGGTAGGAGAATGATATTTACCAGATAGGTTTTTCTAGACTTCTAAAGCTGTTTTAACTCTTCTGTTAAGGGAATGTTTTATTTTGCAATTTGAAACGGAGAGTTGAAATATGCCTGTGACACTGCAATATTTGTAAATAAAACTCAGAGTTTTACAGTGCTGAAAAGTCACTCTTCTTCTGCTAGTGAACTGTTACGGAAAAGTAAGTTCTGCCAGCAAAGAACTTGGTCAGGAAAAGACCCACTTTATTATTAAGTTATTTATTAAGTTATTTTACTTTAGGTTTGGTGATTCAAAATTGCTGAAAATACTTTGCCTAACTAACTATATAATTGCTGTGAGAGAAAGCAGACATGGGGAAATCAGCCAAGTAATTATTCTTTGAAAACTGGAACAGTTGTGCTTTAAGACTAGAAATCTTTCTCTTTAGCAACTTAGAAGGCATGTATTTCCTTGCTGCAAAGCTGGCCTCTTAACAGACTCCTGACTTACATGGCATGGCACAACTCTTCTCAGTTTCCTGTCCCCTAAGATATTGTAATACAGAGGATAAGACTGAATATTACTTTTGTTACAAACATTACTTTGGTACACACATCCATTATTCTTGGAAAATAATAAGGGTCCTCAGAAAAATATTTAGGTATTTTTAAAATATTTTAGGTAGCTGAGGCTTGTTAACTAGCCTAGATATACAGAATTGAGAAACAGATATACAGAATTTGAGCAATGTTAGGTATTCCTGAGCAGAGTAGAAAATGCCAGTAAGGCAGGTATTTCTAGATTACTGATGTTTGAGAGTGGGTGTGTGGAAGTGTCTCATTGGAAAGATTTGGCAGACTAAGGACCTGTCTTCTGCCTGGAATACGGATCAGCAAGCCCTTTCCTGTAAGAAGCAATCCAGAGGCCACCTTAAGAAAAAAATCCCAAAACAAAACAAAACAACCTACATCAAAACAAAGCAAAAAAAACCCGAAAAACCTGACAAAAACCCACTTAGTGGTGGATGAAGAATGTGAAGTTGGATTATGGTAACTTAGTGATTAGAACAATTGAATGGAACAGGACATATACTACCTTCTGTATCAGAGGTTTCAGCTCTCTGTTTTCTATTAGCTGGAAGTGTGTACTAACCACCAAGCTGAAAGACACTGGGTAAAAGCATCTGCAAGTTTACATTGCTGCTGAAGATGGAGTGCAGGTAGCTGTGCTGTAGGGTTTTTTTCCCCAGAAAACACGTTCATTGGCCACCAGGTACTTACTAAGCAGAATCATGGAGGAGATCCTCCTGGGATACTTGGAAAATAAGATGATGGATGACAGGCAGTGTGACTTCACTATGGCAAATTTGACAGATTTAGTGGCCTTATGACCACCTTAACTAAAGTCAAGTTAAGTTCTTATAGTCAATCTCCCTTAAGTAACTAAAGGGAGATTGACTACAGAAAAGCTGGAGAGGGACTATTTACAAAGACATGATAGGACCAGGGTGAATGACTTATAAGATTAGGAAGGAGAGATTTAAATTAAATATTATGCAGAAGTTCTTTACTAAGAGGGTGTGGAGGCACTGGCACAGGTTATCCAGAGAAGTGGATGCCCCATCCCTGGATATCTTCAAGGCCAGGGTGGATCAAGCTTGGAGCAATTTGGTCTAGTGGAACATTCCCTGCCCATGGTAGGGCTTTGTAACCAGGTCATCTTTTGGGTCCCTCTGAACCAAAACCATTCTGTTATAATTACTATACAATGACACATTTTTTACATAGCTTTTCTAATATATTATTTTATTTGTCCATAAAGAACTACTTAAGCACTGACTATGATCCCCTAAGTAAAAGAGGGCTCCATCCTCTTTGGATGGAACAGCATATCTTTTGAGGCTGGGGGTCTGTCTGACCCCCAGCTCTGCCATCAACTATCCCGGATAGGGGTCCTGGAAGGAGCAGCCGTCCAGGGAGTCTCAGGCAGTTTCCAGCCAGAGGTAACCATTAGGAGCGTGGCCTGAAGCTTCACGTGATCAGCTCTTTTAGAAGTGATTTCTGCTCTTGTGATCAGCTCAGCTCAGCTCAGCTCTGCTCATGGGTTACCCCAGCTGATGCACAGACAAGAGACGGGAGACTGTGTAGCGTTCTGTGGAGTCCTTTATTGGCAGGCTTCAGCAAAGGGAGCCAGTGACAATCTTCCCCTGAACCAGGCAAAAGCTGGGGTTTTTATAGGGAAGGGGAGAATTGAGAAAGGGACCAATGGTCTGAGACTGGGATAAGATGACCAATAGTTTACAGGGAGATAACATGGGGTCCCGAAGCAGGAAGGGGTCCACAGTTTAGTCACCATGACTGAGTAGTTTTGTTGTATCTTAGAGGACAGATTTCCAGAGAGGAGGCCTATCAGAGGACTGGGCTTCCTCTAGACACTTCTGCCCATGTGTCTGCTCCATGTGCCACAGCTCCTGCAAGTGCACATAGACTCTCTGTGGGTTACATCTTCCTTCAGGGTACATCCACCTCCTCCAAGGTTCCCTATGGTTCCCTATGGTCTGCTGGTGGGTCTCAGCTGCACTGTGGACCTCTGTGGGCCTACAGGAGCACAGCCTGCTTTACAGTGGGCTGTTGGGGAATCTATTAGTGCCTGGAGCACTTCCTGAATGTCCTTTCTGAATGATTTTGGGGTCTGCAGAGTTGTTTCTCTCAGTTATTCTCACCCCTCTTAGCTGCTGTGCAGTGTTTTTTTACCTTTTCCTAAATACCTATGGCAGAGGCATCGGCAACATGGCTGAGGGGCTCAGCTTTGGGCAGCAGCAGGTCCATCTTGGAGCTGACTGGAACTGGTCCTGTCTGACACATGGACAGCTTCTGGTGTCTCTTAGAGAAGCCACCTCTGCAGCCCACTCATTGCCAGAACCTGACCGGGTAACCCAGTGCAGGCACTTACCTGGCAAGGAAGACTCCTTTTAGTCTTAAGAAGTTTTTTTGAGGTTTCACTACAGTGAAACTGGAAGGTGCATAGTCTCTTTTGGAAAGGGAACTGCTGTAATTTTTCTGGTGGAGTAATGCTATTAGCCTAACTGCTAAATAGCGATGCTTCTGGAACATTGTAAAAAAATATCTGCAGTGTTCCTACAGACAGAAAGGCATGACAGCATGTACATAGTTGTCATTTGCATAGATTATGTCTTTTCATGTGGCAGTCTGAGAGCTGTGCTTGGCTTGTAGGCAGTATCAGTGTCTGGCTAAAAGCAACAAATAAAGGCTACTTTTCATCTTTTCTGGGAGTTTCTTGTCATGATTAGGGAATATGTTAGCATATTATGAAATCTAGAGCTCAGTGTTTGGAGCTCAGTATTTGATGCAATATTGGAGCAGATGACTTAGTTCTTGTAAAGCTGTGTGATGTAGTCTTTTTAATAATAATCTTTTTTCTTTGCTACCCTCTTTTAGCCTATTTCTTGTCTGTTATTTTGCACATCAGTGGAGTTTCTTGCTTACTGTTACTAAGCAGTGTCGCTCTATTAGGAACGGTGAGAAGAGCAACACAGACTCTCTAGGAGTCAATCAGGAGATTTTCTCCTACTTTATTCCTTCAGGTCTCTTTTATAGACTGATACATAGAAAGTACAGAAAGGAAACTCTTCTTGGTTAGCAAACTACTACATCACCATCATTGGTCAGCAGGGCTCACCACCCCCTGACTTTCTCCTGCAAAGAAAACAAGGGACAGAGGAACAATACCTGCAAGGA